CAGAAATACTGTAAGTACCATTAATTGTTTTTCATATTTATATTGATTCATTCTTTTGTTCATTGATGGTATAGGTTGGTGATTTTGTAAATTGAAGATTAAAGTGCTTATTTGCTTTGTTCTTTTATCAGATTGAACTTCACTGACAAAATATAGAAAAATCCATGAAGACTATGGTCCTCAATGAAATTGCTAAAGTATAAGATTAGTAAAACAAGGCTAGATTGGTAATATTGTTAATTGGCTACTACATTATTGTTTTGTTCTTCCTCAGAAGATGTATGATGGCAACCTCCTTATTTTTGATGGATGCTAATTTTTACTACATTATTATTTTGTTTTTCCTCATAAGATGTGGGAGGGTGACCTTCTTATTCTTGTTGAATGCTAATTTGGCACCAAGTCATCAACCAGGGTGAATAAGTTGGGAGCCAAATTACTTAAATGTAGCTTGGTTGTGTTTTCTGTATGTTCTGTCATTTGTTGTGTTGGATACAGTATGCAGAGGTATTCTTTTGTACTTTGACATTTTTTATTCATTGGGTAAAGATGAAAGGGAGCTTGATTCTTCTATATCTGATTGGTTTTACTTACTGCTTTCCTTGGTCGATGCTGAAAATCCATCTAGTTGGCTTTCTTTCTTCCTTCTAATGGTTCTGTTTGTTAGACTGTGTCCATCAAGATATTGTGTGGGACAACATCTGGATGTCTTGGCCAATAAATTTGTTTCTAATTTATGGAACTACTTTCCATCAAGATTTATGGATATCAGAATTTTGGTACAGAATTATGCTACTATAAGTTTTTGTATATGGTTTTTCATTTTTTTTCTGTTAGTGAAATATGAAAGTATTTAAAAAATACTTCAGATGCTTATCCTGTAATTGTGCCTCCTGGTTTGTGTTCCAATGTTGAAATACTCTGTCAATGTTTTAACAGAATCCAGGGGACAAGTGGTGTTGAACTTTCTGCTGGTTTCCATTGGTACTTAAAACACTGGTGTCTGATACACATATCTTGGGAGAAGACCGGTGGTCTACAGTTGTCATCTGTACCAAAAGTGGGCTCCCTTCCGCATGTTCCTTCGGCTGGTATTTTGGTACAAAGACCTGTTCCGTTGAGTTACTACCAGAATGCTGTTACATCCAGTTGTAAGTTACTTTATTATTTATTTTTTAAGTTGATTTGGCGCTCAATAGCCCCTTTAGTTTGGTCTAGAAGTCTATTAATGTGAGACTGAAGTATCTATTTTCATCTTGATAGCTATTATTTGAAATTCACTTTCTAGTTTTTATATTACTTAAAAGCTACACATAAAGTTGAAACGAGTTTAATCTAGTCTGAAAATCCAAGAAACCAACTTTGATCATGTGTATGTATGAGAGCTAGCATAATGGACATTTTTTCTTTTAGTTTCGTAAATTTTAGTGAATACTACTACAAATTATTTGAGCATCTTATGTACTTCGGTACATTATTTATCCTCAAAAGAAGGGAAATAAATGGATAGTTTCACTGTTTTTACTATGATAATAATTAAGAAAATGGTTCTTAACATTGCTTAGACACCAACTCAAACTACAGTGCAGCAATGGCACAGCTGCCTGATTGTTATTTGAACAACATAGCTATTAGTTAAAATAAAATATGAAAGATGGAACAAAGAGGTAAAATTAACGTGATTATAACCTCCATGAAGTTCCATTCTTTATACCATTCACTTCAGAGCATATAATGGAGGTTCACATTTAAAAATGAAATAGATTTTTTTGTTTGATTTTTTTGGATTAAATTTGCTGAACTGAGTGCTAATTTGCTCCACTTTCTGCTTTATACATGGTTGCTTGTCACCATCTATAAGCATATCAGACTCCATAATTTGTTATAATCTGGCCTCAGGATATTTGTGCTTTCTATATGTTTCTAACTGAAATTTGGATGGGCCAGAAAATGTTTGTACTAGATGTGGATTCAGCAGCTACATAGGTGCAGATGTTACATGTACAATCATGGTGGTTGCCTCCAAGTTCTAACTAACATTTTACAATCATAAAAGTTAAACCGACTGAAACATGTGCTAAGAGATAGTCAATCTGTTAGAATGTCATAGTCCTTAAGTCCATCTAGGTCAATTAGCTATTTTTAGTGATTACATTATCTAGAATGTTTCTTCATTATGCATATAGTAAAAAATTGTTTCGCAAAAGAAATGAGGATATGTTTAATAAATCATTAATTTCATGAATAGATTTCTCTCCACTATTAGTTGGGCAGCAGGAAGTGACATTTTCCAAGAATGGCAAGTTTGAGCCATTTGATTTATAGTCATTTCAGTGTCTTTGGACCATGGAGAGTCATCATCTGTTGTATGCTTAAACTCATCTAAAATATATAGTCAGTTACCATGACATATGTTTGTTGCCATTTAGTTCCATTGCTGGTGACCTCTTGACTGCTGACTACCTGGTTATTGACCCCTCCAGCAACTAGCTACCAAGTTGTCGGTCATCAATAAATAACTATCCATAACTGTTTGGCCATCAACACGTTGTTAGATCAGTGTTGTCAATCCATTTAAATTGTCAGTTAACTTTTTTTAATGCAAATGGTGCAATTTACTTTAAACACTGAATTATGTCATATAACAACAAGTTCAATTAGTTTATGGTTATATTTTGTAAATGCTTTCACTTCTCCAGCACTTCCTTGGTGCATTGAATGTGTGTGCATGGTGCATTTTAACTGACACATTGCATGAGCTTTTTACTACTTTGCGCTGCCCTTGTACTCGTTTTACATAATGTTGGCATGCCCTTGTGCTAATATTTGTCCATGATGGTAACATTCTAGTATGAGTTTGTGTTGCTTGTACTTTCGATCCTTGATTTTGCTAGAACCTTTACGGTGTTTGGATAAATTGGCTAAGATATTGATGCATAGTTTATGATGTGAAATGCCAGCCGTTGGAACTGCCTCGGGTGGCATTCTAGGGGATGACACCCCAGTTGTATGCTATTTATATTTGTTTCTTCCGTGTTGTGAACTTTGTTTTTTACTGTGTTAAGATTCACATGCATGGTGGAGTTGGGAAAGATGGGAGAAGGAAATTGATTGGATGGTTCTCCAAGGGGTCAACTTACCACTTGCTTTCAATGGGCAAGAAGCCATTTGGCAGAAAGTTTTTGAGGTACAATACTTTTCTTTTTCTTTTATCAGTGTCCTTTGCTATTAGTTTGTCAAGGTATAATACCTCAATATATGTACCTTTTCTATCAAACATAGAGCAACAAATGATGTTTTGCCTGGACTGGTATGTACATAACAGTCCTGGTGTGTGAACCAGTATGTGGACTGCCCCCGTTTTGGACCAGTTCAACCTGCCCATATAAAATGTAAAAAATATGTTTGCACCTTTGCCCTAATCGTGCACGTCATGACCTCGTACATTGTTGCTCTGCACCACCTTTGCCCTAATCGCATCTCAATCACAAAGGATACATCATGTGATGTCGCCACTCACCATCTCTGCGCACAGCCACCAAGCACATACACCTCTTCTCCTCTTCCTCCACTGCCTCCTTTTCTTCCTTCCTTTACTGTGCCTTCTCCTTCATCTTCACTCATACATACCAGTGTACTGGTACCGACCGGTATAGGTCTGGCTAGGGAATGATATGCATCCAGTATGCACTAGATGATGATCCTTTTTATATAGTTTGAGATGTTAGTTCCTTATGGATGCAACTTTGCATGCTGCTTTTTTGTACAAAACAATATTTTACTTCTCATCCTTATACCATAATTTTTAGCTCTCTCATCAGTCCATTGACCATTCAAGACTCTACCAACAATAGGTCAACTATGGAATACAACTCACAATGAGGAGGTTCCTTTGGTGATTTGACAGTATTTGATACTGGCTGTCAATCTAATGTCAATACCCTGAAGCAAGGTTTTAAATACCGGTCCGTACCGACGTATTGAGCTCCGCTCGGTACGGCACGTACCGGTATGTACCGTCGGTACACCAGGGTATACCGATGGTACATCCTAAAACCTTAAAAATACCTGGTATTGGTCTGTACGCCTCGGTACCGGCCTGTCACGGACAAAACTGTAAACAGGGCTTTTAATGTAAGCTTATGTATGTCCGTGTCTTTTTGCTTGTTCATGCGTTGCACAACATGCAGAGGGACAGTCGAAGGCTTAACAATCCCATTTTAGTTGAGTTTGGTGGCTGTTTTAGGCTTGTAAATAAATGTTGTGTCATGTGGACACTTGTGAGAGATATTCGGTATGTAGTGGACCATTTTGGATCCTTTGTTGTGCGACCGTTTAGAGCTTATAAAGTCTGTTTGTAATTTGCATTGGCTATGAAGTGTTTTTCGAAATGTTTGCTTGTGGATCCCGAGTGAGGCGTTTTCTTTGACCCATTTTCTCTTTTATAGGTCCTAAGGGACCATGAGAGGTTTCGGGGAGGCTGACTTTTGCAGATGGACACACAACGATGCTGCACGACTTTGACAAAACCAGCTAAGTCCATGACAGATGGTATCAGAGCGGGACAAGCACTCATAGAAACACTTGGTATGCAAACGTGGGGGTCAATGCAGCCCGCACGCGCGATCGTTTAGGGGAAAGCGGGCATGGAAATGTAGGGAAAATGAGTCACTCAGAGGAGCGGACATCTGAGATTGACATTCAGAGGAATGACCAACCCTTCGCGCAAGAGGCATTACGAGGATAAGCAAGTTGGGAAGAATGTGTAGCGCACAAAGGCTGAGATGGTTGAATTTGAGCTACGACTCAATGTTGGCAACCATACTTGATGGTGATTAAGGCAAGCGAGGCACTTGGTAAAGGATGAGACTATGTAAGGTGGAATGGGTTGTTCAGTGACCGAAAGAGTTGTGCAAAGCTCGAAAAATTCGATACTCATTTAAAGGCTTGTATGCGAACGATGGAGTGTTCGTAGCCATCCTAATGTGACCGAAACTCGGCGCTATGGAGCATTGAAACTTTCTCTTCAGCATGAGAATAATACGTCTGTAGGAGGCTAAAGTGTGTAGCCAGTTCAGCATGTTGCTAGGCCTTGAGGGGTGCAGCGGGGATTGTATTGACGTGGAGTCGTAATCTAGCAAGTGCGTTTGCGGGAGGTAGAACAATGCACAATTTGTTCAACAAGGTGGAGTAGTCCAAGGGGATGGTGGTCTCCGAAACTTTCAAAGAGAAGGAAGCGAAAAGAGAAGTTGCTCCAACGGGAGAGATATTTAGGAGGGATAAGTCCCGGCTCTCCAAAGGGAGAACCATGTGTAACAGACCGGACATGTTGAGGAGTACCTCAAAAACAACTTCACAAAGCTCAACGGACCAAGCAAGCGACGAGGAGTCGTTGCATGATCTCGCTTGAAATAATGCATTGGGGAGATGCTTGCGAGATCAAGTGGGGGAGCAATCCAAGGCAACGCAAATGAAGGCACACTTGGAGTCGATATGGAGATCAGACTCAATGGAGGGCTGGCTCGTGGAATGGTGGGCGTGAGGACTATCAACAACTCAATGCAAATCGAGGAGCGGAGCAACTTGGGTGTAGCTTGGCGAAGTACCTAAGCCACATGAAGGGAGCCGACATAGAAGATGAAATATGGAGCGGAGGCACAGAGCTTTCTTTGGATAGAGGACATGAACTCTTGCAGAGGCAAGGGCGGGATTATGTCGTTCCATGGATCCCTCATTCTGATGGAGCGGGCTCATCCTGCATGGTGCCAAAGACGAAGGGAGTTTTGAGGCACATACACCTTACCTCAGAGAAGCATTTGATGGAGGCGACTCAACTTGCAAATACGAAGTTGGGTTCAAAAGGCCTTAGCACGGGGCAAGAGGATGCGGTGTACAGCGGAGATTGTGCTAGTAGGGGCAGAGGCCCAGGATCCAAACAATAGTGCACCAATTTTAGCGAAGTCGGTGGACTTCGGAAGCTACTAGGCGACGGACTGTCATAGAGCGGTGCTTCGTCTAGGTGTGACTCGAGAGCGGTGGACGAAGGTTGATTGCCAAATGAGCGAACACAATCGAAGGTGGAAAAAGCTTTGCGATGTGTTGACAAAGGCCACACATGGAGGGATCACAATTCGAGTTCTTCCCACAAGGATCAGAATGCAATGAAGATGTCACCGGGAGGCGACATGGTGCAGCGGATCGTGGTGGAACAGTTCGTGGCAATGCGATACACACGATATAATCCCGTGAGAGACTATCTCATATGGAGGTATGATCGGGAGCTATTGGGAGCTCCACTTCGGTGAACAACACGATGACAAGAAGGGCTATGGATTCAAGGAGTGAAGGCCATGGTACCGTAGAGGCGGGTCTTCCGTGCGTGTATCGAATTTTATATCGGATGAAAGCCTTGGTCATTAGCATATGGGGCTGTGTACTACCGAGAGAAAAGTTCGAATGTAAGTACCAGTGAGTCCCATGGGAGGGACTTGATCATGCAGAGGTATGATCGGAGCGGTTGGAGAGTTGGACTGCTCTAGAGCTCATATTCGCTTAAGGGAGCCCGGCAAGTTAGAGGACAAGGCTGAGTAAGCGAACATTGCTATCAAGGAAGCTAAGGAAAATAGAATCTGTGCGAACCCTGCAACATGATGGCAGAGGCCATGAATGAGAGTTGTAGTCTGTCTTTCCATCGACCAAGGGGAACTACTTGGAGAACACAGAGGTGTTGAAGCAAGGGGTCGAAAGGGGCGAGGAAGCGATGACGAGTTCAAAGAGACTTAGCTACCTAAAACCAAGTATCAGTTAGAATGAAGGTGAACTCGGAGGAATGCCACAGAGGTAGATCTATCGATCGTGAAGAAAGAGATGTAGATGTAAGGCGACGGATAGTAGGGCCATGGGCATGACAGCGCCATGGTACCGTAGCAGCTGGACTTCCGTGAAGTTCTCGATCTCTTGCTCTCATGGAGGGAGAGCGTATGGTCGTGAAAGGGGCCGAGGAGGTGGAGCATGCGGAGGCAAACTCCAAGTACCAAGATAAGGTTGAAGGGCAAAGGCCAAGGAACTTTGTAAGACCGGTGTCAACGAGCTTCTCATCAAGATAGCTGAAAGTGGAGGACTTCGGGTCGATACAAGAGTAGACGACCAAGGAACGAAGCAGGCAGTACACGGTGCTGTACCTTTGCTACTCAGTGGAGTAGGCGACTGTTGATGGAGAAGACGGTACAATCCCAGAGGCGACCAATACTATTAAAGACTTACTCCAAGTTGGGGTGTAAACTTCCTGCATTCCAGAAGTTCGATGGCATTGAGAAGGTGAATCATAGTAACTAACTCAACGCAAGGAGTGCAAACACTTCAAGTGCTTCAGAAGTGTGAGCAAAGAGCAGGTGAAGGTCAGTAACCAGCTCGATGCATGGAGTACAACCCTTGAGGAGCCGGGCGAAGTCAAATAACCTTTGCCTTCTCAACTCTTAAGAGAATGGCCGAAACCGAGTACCCCAATTCTCTTAGCTATCGAGCAGAGGAGCTCTGCATATGTTCAAAGCCCCTTCGAAGAAACAAAATGGAAGATAATAGTTGTCAAATCCTCACCAATAGTGATCAGTGCTACTGAGAGTAGATTATCCGTTTCATTTCCCAAGAGAGTGCCAATCGAAAGCAGAAGTGATGCGAACCTACTTGGAAGTGACAACTAAGTGAAAGAAGAGTCGATGGGCAAAATTTGTAGAGGAAGGACCCGAAAACTTTAAAGTTTGCGAGGCGATGCTCGTTAAAGCTTCAACAAGCATCCACCCAGTTTAACCAACATGAGGCATTTGAGAGACTGAAGCATAGTAAGGATGGTCTTTTCCTTCATATGAAGGATCCGCAAGAACCAACAGGGATCGACACAACTCAGCCAACCACACACTAGAGTTAGAGTCATTGGCGAGTTGAAGCAGCATGGCGGATCAAAAGTTCGACTACTTAACAACAGCAGCGGAGAGCAGCTGGGAGCCAAGAGATGCATTGCTGTTGGAGCAGAAAATTAAAGACTCAGTAAAGGCAAGGAGTTGTACTGTGTTAGGACTCTAGCTAGGAGAGTCCTAATTGAGAGGGACATTCATGTAAAACCTACCTAAGCCGACCCCTATTAAAGAGGTGAAGAGGCCGGCTAGGGTTAGGAGGTTGTTTCTTAGAGAAGAATTAGGAGTTGTAAAGGAATAGGAGTTTTGAGTAGAAGTCCTATTAGGAATTGGTTAGAAGTAGGAGTCTTGAGTAGGAGTCCTATTAGGAGTTAGGGTTTAAAAACCCTATAAATAACCATGTATTCCTCATCTTTTGATAAGCAATAGATGAACCTTTTCTGCAGCCTTTGAGCAGCAACTTGGAGGGAGGAACCCGTATAGAGTTCCAAGGAGGCCGATCCCCTAAAGAGATCAATCCCAAGTTTAGAATCTGCAAGGGTTCTAACATAGTGTCGGCAAAGGCTTCGACGAGGACGTCGAAGGAATAAGTGGGGGAGAATGTCACGGACAAAACTGTAAACAAGACTTTTAATGTAATGCTTATGTATGTCCGTGTCTTTTGGTTTGTTCATGCGTTGCACAATATGTAGAGGGACAATCGAAGGCTTAACAGCCCCATTTTAGTTGGGTTTGGTAGTCGTTTTAGGCTTGTAAATAAAGGTTGTGTAATGTGGACACTTATGAGAGATGTTCGGTCTGTAGTGGACTATTTTGGATCCTTTATTGTGGGACCGTTCAGAGCTTGTAAAGTCTGTTTGTAATTTGCATTAACTATGAAGTGTTTTCCGAAATGTTTGCTTGTGGATCCCGAGTGAGGCGCTTTCTCTAACCCGTTTTCTCTTTTGTAGGTCCTAAGGGACCATGGGAGGTTTCGGGGAGACTGACCTTTGCGGACGGACACGCAACGGTGCCGCACGACTTAGGCAAAACCAGCTAAGTCCGTGACAGGTCGGTATGCCTCGGTACCGATCAAAACATTGGTACCGCCCGGTAGAGGGTGGTCTGCATACCGATATCTTCTTGGACCGGTATATACCGCCTGTATCGGGCGGTACATATTGAAATTGAGAACCCTGCTCTGAAGTTAGTTTTCCCATTCTACCTATAATACTTCTAGGAAAGAGATTTTCCCTAAAACCTAATAAGCTAGTTAGCATGAAAAAGTAATTATCACACTGATTGTCATTTATCAATTCTTTTCTTATGCGATCACTGAGCAAGAAGCTGAAACTCTAGATATTAGAGTCTAGAAGTTTACATAGGGAGCAGTTTTGACAAAATAGTGAACAGAAAATCCCTGAATGTGAACCTCTTGTTGTTTTAATAATTATATGCTTGGTGATCTTACTACATGGTATATAGGCAACTCCCTTATAATTTCACAAGCTTCATATGGTTTAATACTTAAAAAAAAAATAAAAACTTCATTGCAAATAATTTCTCCTTGTGATATTCAGCTTGACATGGATAGGATGATATCAATTATTCTTTAATCTCTTCATGTGCTTTTTATTTTGTTATTTTGCTACTTGGTTATTGATGACATGTGATCATCTCTAATCATTTAACCACAAAAGGATACATTTACAATTTATGTTACCATGAATTCCATTAGATGATATTACCTACTTAAGTTTTGTACGAGTTCTTTGTTGTTTGTCTGCATAGTGATTATCAAGATTTGTCACATTGCTCTAGCAGGTAATTGGAATTATTATTAATTTTTAAACAGTCTTCCTACTATTTTTTAGAGGTATAATATCAGCCGTAGAGATCTGGATGATTTTTTCGGGGGGCCTGCATTTCTTTCATGGTCACGTATGGGAAACTTGCATGGGTGAGTTTACTATTTTGTTTAATTTTAGTTTCAGTACATGGTAGAAATGGATTATATACATGGTTTTGATTGGTAATCAAATGTTGTGCAAAATTTATAAGCTTGACCACATACTAATTTAAATTCCTTTATTCTGTATTCTTTTGCTGTGCTTGATACTAGATGGGGTGGACCCTTGCCTCAAAGTTGGCTTGATGATCAACTTGTTCTTCAGAAGAAAATTCTTGCTAGGATGTACTCGTTTGGAATGACTCCGGGTATTTTTAGAAGAAGATTTAAATTCAATCCTTTATATTTGTAGGCATCCTTAAGATCATAATCTTGCATGATAAATAGATACATTTTGAATCTTAGTAAGTTCTCTTAATATAATATTTTAGGTTGGTAACGTCCTTAAGATCACAATCTTGCACAATTAACGGATACATTTTGATTCTAAAAAGTTATATATCTATTTATTGAGAAAAAATTGTTTGCATCACATCTTCGATTATTTTTCATTGTAATGTGAAGTTTATATGTTTAGATTACTTTGTGGTTGATGCTTGTAAATAGCTAAGGTTTTATAACATATTGCGTGATACATGTGACAGACTGCATTAGTTGAGGTTTGGAAACTGAGTGTATGCCCTTCTCTCATATACACGAGGCTGTTTCTCATGACTGTTCAATAACTCTTAACATTGGAATAAATGAGATTAATGTCATGCCCTGCTGCAACTTTACTCACAAAGCCAAGCTGTATTGGACAGGTTAATGTCCATATAATTTTATACAAACAAGTAAACAAATAAAAAATTTATTTATTTTCATTTATTGTCTCAAAATATTTGAGGATAACACTTAATTTGAGTTCAAAACCAATCATATGAACTAAACAAAGTACTATTGTATGACATAAATTCTATTGTATCCTATCTCAGTTAATTTTACTAAGTCTATAGCAGAATGAAATGGTATTATAAACAGTATAATTAGCATAGTAATTTGGTACGGAATGTACCAATTGCAAAATTACATAAAGACAAGGGGAATAGATTTGAAGGTATATTTTGAGAATTGCGACAACAAATATAACGTTGTTTTCACTTGTTCATATTACTTATGCCTTCTTACATGCTAGTGGGATTGACAACATAAGTTGATTACTGGAGTCATCAATGGTGTAATGTTGACACCCAGGAATGAACAACAATAAGACAAGGGAAGAGGACATAATTCAAACTCTCTATTTGGTTAACACAAAGTGCTATAGGAACAATCCTTAAATTGGTTTTTTACTAACTAAGGATTGGTTATTGGAAATAACTAGTAATAATGGATATAATAAAATCGTGACTATCTTGATGGTGTTGAGATGTGCCTTGGTGAATGGATATTTAAATTATACAAATATATTAATGATTCAATGGTTCAATGATGATATTGCCACTACTGACTATTTTAACAGAATAGTTAGTGACTAAATTCTAATATTTATTTAATAAGTAATTTGTTTATGATATAGAGTTTATTGATTTGTCTTATCTTAATTTTGTTAATTTTTATAAGAAAATTAGGAAGAAATTTAAAATTTACATTATATTAAATGACGTTCAAGATACTTACACATAGAGTCGAACCGGAGATCCATCAATTGTGCAACAATGCACTAACCATTAGGATGTCAAATCGGAGATCTATCAATTGTGCAATAACGCACTAACCATTAGGATGTCTCAATAGAGCCTCTTGGTCTGAGCTCATGAAGAAAACAAGTCAGTGTGTTGATAACTTTCAATAAAATAATTTGTGCTTTGGACAATCTTTTTCATTTGAAATATCAGGTAAATTTGCATTTGATCACTATTTGATTCAGGTTTTAGAAATCCTCTTATGTGCTAGTGATGGGCTGAAGCAACCTCAAGAATTTTGGCTAGTACTATTACACATTTATATGAAAATGAAGGCCAAACAAGCCTTTATGTTTGGATACCATCTTGATTTAAGCTGTACAACTTTTTTCTTTCTACCATTCCTTCTTTATCCTTTTGCCTAATAGTAAAGCATTGGTGAGCATGGTTTGATGTACTGCCTAAAAGCGTACTAAATGAGCAGTACATATTGCTGATTGGTACGTGGACCAACCATTTTCGGATGGTACAAGATGAGCATTAGTGAGATGGTTTGACATACCAGCTGAAAGGGTACAAGATGAGTGGTATGTATCAGTTCGCCTATTGATTGATACACTGACCAACCATTTTTGGATGGTATTCTACAAGGGGGGTGTACCGGATGGTATGCCTCATGTATCACCTGATATGGTCACCATTACTGATCAATACGGGTTGGTAACAGTTGGATTTCAATGGTACCAATTAACATTTGGGTTAAATCAGTTCCAATAGTTAGTTCGATCGTTGTGTCACGAACGATCATCGCGCACTTGAAACAACTTCGTTCAACGAACCGTCCGTCGTTTTTGCATACTTGTACAGAGACATGGCAGCCTGTTTTGCCTTGGTTTTGTGTGTTTTTCTTGTAAAAAAATACATGTTCGAACAGGTTGTAGTGCTACAGTGCAACTGCTCACTGCGCCGGGCCAAAAAGCCCCAAAATGGCTCCGTTTTCGTGTGCCGCGGGCTGTTTTCTGCAGCCCGCTGCAGCGCTAAAAAACGTTAGCCATCTCAGCACCCTGGAACCCCTCGGGTGGCATAGGGCTGGATGGGGCTTCGATATATTGTCGAGCGTTGAAAATGTTGAATCTCGTATTTTGATAATGAAACTACTTAATATATGTTTATGATTTAATATGCGTTTTGAGTGACGCAGGATGCTTTGATCAGGATGAGACAATTAAAGCAGGAACATCATGTTGTGCCGGAGGAACATGTCAGAAGATTGGACGTCGGGCCGGTAGATCGGTCGACGTATCGACAGAAGGCTTCGGGTCGTGGACTCGGGCATCGGGCCAAG